GTAAGCAGAGTCTTGGAGGTGGAGCCCACACCAGAACATTCAAGTAAGCTATCCCCAGATCCTCAAGCCCTTGGGAACCATCCGTCCAAGAAGCGGTCATCTCCCTCTCCCAGGTCCCACATGAGCAAAGAAGACTGAGGCAGGTAGAAGGGAGCAACCGCAGAGAACGGTTGAGAACCTGGAGAAAGAAAAAGGTGCTTTCCATTTCTTAATCCCTTCTTTCCATTTTTAAACTCGTTCTTACTGGCTGTCCAGTTCATTCTTTCATTTATTTCCTGAGACCCAGAGGCGCTGATAATCCTTTTATTTTAAGTGGGGTGTTTCTAAAAATCGGTGTAAATACACCAATTTCTCTGCTTCAAATGAGTCTTCCTCTGGCCACTCAAAGCAAGATTCTTACAAACATGCCTGTTCCAAACATGACAGAGTGAAATAAGCCCTTTAAGAAGGAGACCGACTGGCAGGCTCCTTATGTTTTTCTGCACTAAAGGCCAGGTTTAATCACACACAGCCTTCAAGCTATATTACCCATTTTGCTCAACAGGAACTTAGAATTAGCAGTGACTTTGGCATTTTCCCTGGGAAACCAATCCCACTGAGCCAAAGAAGTCAAAAGGATACTTTATAGCAAACATCCAGGGTCTCCTTCCTAATCAAAAGTGGCCACAAATCTTCTGAGTCACCAACAGGACTTGCTTGCGGTATACCATCCTATTGTCAAACTGTTGAAATAACAAATAGAGGCCCATAGGACAATGCCAATTCATAAATAGAGAATTAGCTATTTTTACTACTAAGCAAAAAACCCCTAAATGCATGCACATAGAGCCTGTAAGTGACTACAGAACCATGATGAATTCTCTCCTCTATTTATATGGCAGTAGAACTTCAGTTTGTAAACATCATCCTACTTTTTTAGTAAACACTCAACAGACAGTTAACTTGCACCGGTAGCTACACTGTGTTCACTCTGACATCCTGTTTTTCATAATTTTTTTTATCAAGATCACTCTGTTTTTATAATTCTTTATCAGAGCCTCCTTCAGTTGCCCCTTATATTATAACCAGCACATCCTTCAGAACACCTCATGAGGTTAGGTCCAGTTCAGTCTCCCCCAGCCCCTCCCAGGCTGTGGCAGGGGCTTCCAAGACAAGAGCAGCCATTCCAGGGGTTTCCTGGTCAGCATTCATTGCTTTGTCCTGATCCGGAAAGGATTGGCTGGGGAAGTATTGGACACCCAGGGACCAAGCCTACACGTCCCCACGTGCCTGTCCCTTTCCCCACCCCAACCATAGAGGAGAAGGAAGGCGTTAGCCTGCCGCATGTGAGAGCTCAGGCTGTCCAACGGCTGAGTGCTTTCAACCTGATTTCAAGGTACCACGGGCTGTGGAACTACTATGTTTGAGAGAAAACACGCTTTCAACTTGCTAATAAAGTACTGCCAAATTGCCCTCCTGAATAGTCATACCAATTTATACTCCCACCTGTAATGTATGAGTTACTTCTGTCACACATCCGTGGCAACATCTGGTGTTTGCAAACTTTATTTCTCCCCATATGATGGGTGTGAAGTGGTGTCTCACTTTGGCTTTAATTTGCATTTCTTCACTGTTGAGCTTTTTTCATTTGTTTGTTGGTCATTGGGTTTCCTCTCTTGTGAATTCACTGTTTATATCTATTGCCTTAAAAAAAATAAAAGGGGAGGATTACCCTTCTCAATGTACCGGAATACTTTATGTTATTCTGAATACTAGTCTTTTTATCAATCCTATGTATTGCAAATACCTTCTCCCAGTCTATGGCATTTTAAATTTTTCATGGAATCTTTTTCACAAAGAAGTTTTATGTGTTCAAATGTATCATTCTTTTCCTTGGTAGTAAAAAGAATTTCTCTTTCTTGATATGAATGTCTCCTATAATTTCTTCTAAAAGTTTTACAGTATTTTCATATTTAAATCTTTGATCTATATACAATTTATTTTTATGTGTGGTATGAGGTAAAAGTACAATTTTATTTTTTCCACATAAATAATTGATTGCCCCAGTACCATTTGTTAAATGATCCATATTTTTCTTCATCTATCTGTAATGTCACTTTTATAATTTATACACATGTATGTATGTGTGCGAGAGAGAGATCACTCTTAGGTTCACTTTTCTGTTCTTTATTTTATGTTTTTTAATCTTTGCTAATATAACACTGATTGGATTTCTGTAGTTTTATGCAAAAGTACTGATAACTAGTGGGGAGGTTCCTCCTTTTTCGTTCTTCAGGATTACTTAACTATCCTTGGCCTCTTGTTTTTTCCAATGATCTTTAGGATCAACTTCTCAAGTTTGACAAAAAACCCTTTGAGGATTTTTATTGGGATTTCAGTGTACTAACATTAATTTGAGAATTACCATCTTCATACATTGAGTCTTACCATCCATGAAAATGGGATATTGTTCCTTTCATTTAGGTCTTCTCTTATGCTCTTTAATACAGGTTTTCAATTTTCATTTTTCTATAGAGCCCTTATAATATCTTTACATTTGTTTAGTTTTTGTTACTATTACAAATAGGGTCATTTCTAAAATTAAAATTTTAAATTGGTTTACAGTATAGAGCAATATTAATCTTTAATATCATTGTCAAAGAACATTGTATGATAGATTCTCAATGTCTGTTAAAATCTGTTTTGTGGCCTAGAGCACAGCCAATTTTATAACTCTTCATGTGTTCTTGAAAAGATTTTCTCTTTAATTCTGTGCAAGGTTTTGCATTTGTCTAGTAGGTCAAGCTTGTAATTAATAATTCACTTGTCTGGATTCTTACTAAATGTATTCTGCTTTACCTGTCTCATAGTATGACTGTGAATTTGTTCATTTCTTCACGTCATCCCATGATCCTTTTCATTACTCGTATGGAGATTGAGTTCACAATTATCATAGCTTCCTTGTGAATTGCTCCCTTTTTACTCTTATGTAATAACTTTTTTATTCCTAGTAATGTTTTACCTTAAAATATATTTTTCCTGATATTAACAGAGTTTTGCCAGTTTTCTGTTGGTTTATGGTATGAATAATATAGCAGTTAAGGATGTGTTTAGCTGCAACTAGTTTCTTAAACTAATGTTAGGGAGCTGTTTGTTCTCAAATAACAAAATCGGAGATAGATGTGGGTCCAGCAGCACGTGATCAGCCCTCCTGCCATTCAGAGTGTGGCAGCAGGATTCATCCTCTTGCTTGGTTCCCCCATGAGGGTTCGTAGGACGGGAGGCAGGGCTGTGGGTAGAGGGGACGGAGTGGATAATGGGAACAATCTTTGTTCTGAGTGTTGCATATGGTATAATACCTGGGTTAGTATCTATAAAATCTCTGTCCCATGTTTGTAAGTGGTTTGCTATTTATACACATTTTATGAAAGTTCTTTACTTTTAAGATGGAATCTTTCTAGTACAAGTGACCGTTGCCTTAACCAAATGAATTGACCTGACACAAAATGCTTATGGTCCTCTCTTTAGAGCCAGAAGCAGTGAAACGCTCAAGTCTCAGGACACCAAGTGTCACAGTGCCTGGCAAAGCACCATGCACTCAAATCTCAAAGCAGTAATGCAAAGGAAATATATACTTGGCTCTCAGCAAGTTGAGTTTTGTATTGAGAAATAATTAGTATATATGTCCTCACAAGAAAATGCCATCATTGTTTATAGTTTTCAGAAGACTGCTTAAATTTCAGTATTTTCTAGGAAACCTAACATCACTCTGTACCATTTGCTGGGGCATTGTCGAAGCCATCAGGTAGCCCTTCTTTCCTGGCAAATGTACTTCAAACTCCCCCTTCCTTTATCCCCTCCTCTGAAACTTTCAGTGCATCTGATTTCACCTCTAATCTTGTCCCAAACCATTAGGACAGGTCTGTGGAACACAAACAGTTCCTGTGGTTTGCATTATAGCCTCCAGCACCTACAAAGCAAGTTAGTCTATTTCTGTTTTGTTCTTCAAATATGGTTAACCATATTTAGACACTTTTAGTGCTTCCCAGAGAACCTCCAGAACAATATATTAATACACCTAATGTTTGATTTGTGTTAAAGGTTAACAGAGCATTTACTTACTTTATTCCATTCAGCCCTCCTTAGCCCAAGAATTAAAGAATTTCTGTCCCATAGATAAGAATGGAGCCTTCAGGGCTCAACCTATAATAAGAATGTAATTATTTCAGTGAAAGTGGGAGATTGTTTCTTTTAAAACATTAGAATAGTGTTACTTTGAATTATTAGGTTAAAGTGCACAAGCAGAGCCCAGTGCTAAGATAAATATTTATTGAATGACCACACTGTTAGTTGGGCATTTTGTTTTAGACACTAAAACTGCTAATCCATTTTGAATGCCCTTTTGTCATTAATCCTTGTCCAACACAATATTGTTAAACAGAAACCAGGTGTCTTTTCACTGAAGGACATGGAAAGTGTTTCTTATATGACCTTAAGCATTGAATTTTTTATTTGAGTGCATGTGTGAATGTGTTTTATGTTAGTCACCTAATAAATTTTGTGCATTGCTTAATCATTGGATTGAAATATATGCATAAGAACTCTTGAGAAGGAAAAGTTTTTAGAAACTCTTATTAAATATTCTGTTCCCACTGTTTTTACAGCTTTGTTTTCTATGTGATTTCCTTTTTACATTTGACTGAAATTATTCTCACTGTGCTCAGGCCTGATTTTCCCTCTCCTATCAAAAACAGCTTTCTCTTTCTAACTAGTTTACAACTTCTCATTTGAAAACTCAGTTTTCTTTATTCTCCACACAATAATCCTAATTTCCTTTTTGTTCCTTACAATTTTCCATTCCTTAGTTATTTCATTGTTTCTCTGAGCCATAAAACTCCATCTTAAACTTGAACTTCTTACAACTATTTTAATTATGTTATCATGTCTGTTTACAAATTTGAATTAATGGAGTCAAATTTAGGTTTTGTTGTGATTTTAAGTGTTCTAAAATAATATTTCAGCCATGGAAACAAAGAAGTCTTTTCCTGCCGAGGAATAAAATTAGCAGTGGATTGGTTTTTGGAAAGAGGCCACAAGGATGTCACCGTCTTTGTTCCTGCTTGGAGGAAAGAGCAGTCCCGGCCCGATGCACTTATTACAGGTGAGCCTGTGAGCTTCCGAGCACACCTGAGCCAGTGTCTCTGAATAATGCATGTGTCTGCCATGATTTACTCAGTTCCTTGGGTGGGACATATTTTCTAGTTTAAAAACTTTCTGGTTATGTTAACTAAAGAGTAATTCTTGCTACTTAAACCATTTTTTTTTTAACTTTGCAACTTTTTAATTCAAATTTTGTAAAAATTCTGACCTTTAGAGACATGCTAGGGGTCAGGAGGCCTAGATTCAAATTCCGGCTGTGCCGGGTACTGTCCATGGCGCTTGGAGCAGCACACTGACCCTTCTGGGCTCCAGGTTTCTCACCTGCGGTGTGAAACTGGGCAATAGCCAAAGACCCTGATGCTGGGAAAGATGAAGGCAGGAGGAGAAGGGGACAACAGAGGACGAGATGGTTGGATGGCATCACCGACTCAATGGACATGAGTTTGAACTCTGGGAGATAGTGAAGGACAGGGAAGTCTGGGCATGCTTCCATGGGGTCACAAAGAGTCAGACACAACTTAGCGACTGAATAACAACAGTGACTACAGATCAGAAAAGACCCTTGGGTCATGCTGTCTGGTGTCAAGTAGAGGAAATGATTCAATCCCAATAAAATACCTGTATTTTGCATTATCTTGTAATTTTTAAATGTATGAGTTTCAGGCAGAGATGTCCCCTGTAACTGTTAATTATTGTCGCTCAACATTTTGCTCAGGTCAGTGGTTCTCAAACAACATTCAAACCTTCCTGCCCCTTTCTGCACCTAACATTAACAAAACTGAGGAACCCGCGTGAAGGAAGCTACACTATTCAAATAAAAAACCAATGGAGTGACCACCCACCATGTACTCCAAGAGAAGGTTATTTTAAGACTTTATTTTTCTCTATAATTATTAAATTATCATTAAATTAGAATAAGGACCCATAGGCAAGTTATGGAGGCCAGAGTCATGGAATCAGACCCTAGCGTATATAAACTGTAAAGTGGGAAGGGTGGGCATAATTCAGTCAGCAGTACCAAAACAGTGGATAACTCTTTGGAAAAAATATGCATATTTGATCCTTATCTTATACCATATAACAATAAATTACAGATGGTTGAAGAATTAATTGTCAAAAATCTCCATCAGAGATTATAAATAGTCTTGGAATGGCTGGGTAAGACCTTCCTAAATTTAAAAGTTTTAGAAGAAATTATGATGGGAAAGATAGGTTTAATTGGATCAAACATCTGTATTTGAGGAAATTTTCTTGAAAATAAGCAAGAAAAATACAACAAATAAAGAATCCACATCTATGACCTAAAAAGAACTCTTACACATTGATAAAAACAGTACACATTGATCAAAACAGTATATTTGGAAGAATGCAAATGCCAAATAAGAGGGGGAAAATGTTCAACCTCATTAGTAAATAAAGAAATGCAAATTTAAATGACTTTTTTTTAACCCATCAAATTAGCATAGATTAAAAACTTGATAATACTCAGTGCCTGGAGGGAGTTACTTGTACACTGCTATGGAAACATAGATGTTACAACCTATCTGGAAAAGTTTGGTCTTAAAATGTTAATACTTTAATCTACTAGTCCCCCTTCTAGGAATAATGTGCCAGAAAATAAACAAAGGTACAGGGAAAAATTTTTGACCACAAAGATATCCAGTGCAATATTACTTATAATAGAAAAAAATGGAAATAAACCATACATTAATTAGAAAAATGGCTCAGTAAAGAAATATATATATATGACAAAATATGTAGTATTAGAATATTTAGGCAGAATTTTTAATAATCTCAGGAAATGCTCTTTTACTTTAAGGCAGGTTTTGTTATTTTATGGGTGTATGCACATATATGTACATACATAATACACACATATAGAAGGAAAAAAAATGGAAAATGGTTAGAAGGAAATATGCCAAAATATTAACAGTAATTACTTCTGGGTCATGTCTTATGATGTCTTATTTTCTCCCTGCTTCTTAGTACTTTTTCTTTCCCAGTTTTTGACAGGAAACTGTAATGCATTAATAATCAGGGGGGAGATAAACTGAAAAAGAAAAAGCAATATTTAAACATGTAAATGAAAGCTTCTTGAGTGTGCAAGGAATATGAGATCCAAAAGAAGAGAAAATGGTAATACTCAGTGTGAGATGTGGCTGAGTTTAATCTTTAAGATACTAGCACATCAGGTCTCTGGAACTCATCAGTATGCAGTTTACTTTGTAAAATGTGCACCACTATTGTCAGAGGTTGTTAGGTGTTTTCTCCTCCAGGTAACAATTCTCTTGACTAAATCCATCAACAAGATAATAATTGGTAAGTTGAACAGTCCAGTCTTTTTTCACTATAACAAAAAAAGAAACTTGATAAGAAATATTTATGCCAAGCTGGATGACTTACAAGCTTAAATAAAGATTTCCAGGGGAAATATCAACAACTTCAAATATGCACATGATACCACCCTAATGGCAGAAAGCAGAGAGGAACTGAAGAGCCTCTTGATGAAGGTGAAAGAAGAGAGTTAAAAAGCTGACTTAAAATTCAACATTCAAAAAGTGAAGATCATGGCATCCAGTCCTATCACTTCATGGCAAATAGATGGGTAAAAAGTGGAAACAGTGACAGACTTTATTTTCTTGGGCTTCAAAATCACTATAGATGGTAACTGCAGCATGCTTGCTCCTTGGAAGAAAAGCTATGACAAACCTGGACAGTGTATTAAAAAGCAGAGACATCACTTTGCCAACAAAGGTCCATATAGTCAAAGCTATAGTTTTTCCAGTAGTCATGTACAGATGTGAGAGCTGGACCATAAAGAAGGCCGAGCACTAAGGAATTGATGCTTTCAAATTATGGTGCTAGAGAAGACTATTGAGAGTCCCTTAGACAGCAAGGAGATCAAGTTAGTCAATCCTAATGGAAATCAACCTGAATATTCATTGGAATGACTGATGCTGCAGCTCCAATACTTTGGCCACCTGTTGCAAACAGCCGCCTCATTGGAAAAGACCCTGATGCTGGCAAAGACTGAGGGAAGAGGGAGAAGGGGGAGACAGAGGATGAGATAGTTGAATGGCATCACTGACTCAATGGACATGATTTTGAGAAAACTCTGGGAGAAAGTGAAGGAGAGGGAAGCCTGGCGAGCTGCAGTCCATGTGGTCACAAAGAATCAGACACAACTTAATGACTGAAACAACAGCAAGAAATATCATTAAGTTTTCAGATACAGATTCACTCTGGCTCTTTAGCTAGGCTTCCACTGACTGAACAAATATTAAACAAGTGAGCACAAGAGTGTGTTATCAAGTACTGTGCTAGGAACTAGAGATTCAATTAACTTACCAGCTAGACTGAATTCATATTTATTTAAGTTAGGACTATTTAACATAATTAATTATCACTAATTATCTTCCTAATTAGTGTCCTTTTAACCTTCTTAGCTGGTAAAGAAATTCAAATTAAGCAAGATGGTGATGACTGTTAGGCTACCGTCTTACTCCTCTGGTCACTTCCAGGATCCAGGCATACCCTACATGAGTAAACACTCCCACAGATAGAGGGCCATGGATTATGCATGAGCAGTGCATAAACTGGACAGTGAATAAACTGGAACACCTCAGAATACACATCTTTAAGTAGCTTCCATATTCCTTTCACAGTCATTTATTGAGTATTCTTATGCCGAGTGCTGATGATGAGTTCACTGATAGATGTAGAGGGGTGTCTCAATGTTTGTGGGGGGCACACACAATAACTATCATATGGAAAATCCTGTGGCTGAGACTGGGCTTTTAATTTTTTTTGGTTTTCTGTCATTTTCAAAAGAGATAAATAATTACATGCATCTGTTAGTTGAAGGACACAGTGCTTATTGAGAGTTGTTAAACACTGCTGGGTGCTTTTACACATGATAACTCATTGACTCCTCACAGCCTACAGACTGCATTCGAGAGCGTAAAGAAGCAGGCTCCGTAAGACTACAATTGCCAGATAGAGAGTGGCAGAACCCGAGATTCATCCATGAGTTACGAACTCCTAACACTCAGACTTCTACTTCTCTGCTGCTTTTCTAAACCAGAGTTCTGGTCCTGAACTCACCGTGTCTGGGACATCATGAACTCTACCTGCCAAGCTGGCCCGGGTCACTCTCCGCCCCCTACACTCTGCTTATACTTCCCTCGTGGCAATCACAAACCCAGCTTGCCCAGTCTATGTGCTTGTCCAACCCAGTAAGCGAGGCCTCCTTGAGGAGAGAATGTTCTTCATGTTGGATGTCACTGACACTTAGCACAGCACATACCATAGAATAGGCTTGTAGTGATTATCCACTGAAAAGAGAAATTTTTCAGAAATCAGGAACTCCAGTTAGTAAGCACTGAGGAGAAGTGAGCCTTTTTTAAAAAGTTATCATGACATCTCATACCCAGCTCATACCCAGCACTTTGTGCGAGAATTTACAATGGTGGGAAGTCCGGGAGTGAAAGAGCTAAAGTTTTATCATTAATCAAAATATGAGCTCTGCTACCTTTAAAAAAACAAAAACAAACAAAAAAACCCCAGAGCACTAACAAGTCAGTGGAGTTAGAAAGTGCTGAAAGAGTATGCCAGCCAAAGAGAAAATGAGCATTCCCTGCCTGTCCGTTCTTAATCAATGGCTGTTTTCCCCAAAGATATAATCACTTCTAATTTCTTCCTCAGTCCAGCCCCACAAGCCTCACAAGGCCTTTGTGAGCACCTATCTCAGCAGGAAAGGACACAGAACACAGAACGGCCTCGTCCAGAACAGCACTTGTGACTTCACTGCCTCCTTGCTCTTTGAAACTTCTGCATCTGAAGACCCTTCCCTTTGCTACCTCGACGTCTTTACTTCGCACACTCCGCCACCATCGCATCCACTAGTTAGAAAAACAGCACTACAAAATATACACGGGGGAAAGAGTCTATTGCTCAGACGTGGACCCACCACAACTGCTTTGTTAGGACAATGTCGTGCCAGGGATATGTGAGAAGCTAGTTCACTGTGTACAGCTTGTGGCTCCAGCTATCAAAGAAAAGCTTTATGTGACGAAAATCAGACTTTGCTCAGTCATGTTTCAGTTTTATGCTTTTTTTTTTAAGTTTTAAACTTTCCATGTTTTTCAGGTTCACTTTTTTTGGCTTTTTTAAACCTTTTTTTAATTGAAAATCCTGAAGGAAAACTGTTACTGGGAGCAACAAATTTGCTCCATTTACAAACTGTAAATCATAATCCCTAATTAAATGGGTGCATGCATCCAGTTCATGTTATAAAAACTGACTTTGTATGAAAGTTGTGAGATGTGTTTGTATGTATTTATTACTAAAAATCCTACCCTGATTATTCTTGCAGATCAAGAAATCCTACGTAAATTAGAGAAGGAAAAAATCCTGGTGTTCACACCGTCGCGGCGAGTGCAGGGGAGGCGAGTGGTGTGCTATGATGACAGGTTCATCGTGAAACTGGCCTTTGAGTCGGATGGTATAATTGTGTCCAATGATAACTACAGGGATTTGGCAAATGAGAAACCAGAATGGAAAAAGTTCATAGATGAGCGATTATTAATGTACTCATTTGTCAATGACAAGTAAGTAAAACCACTTACAGTAACACTGCTTCCCTGCAAATCTTAGTATCCCTGGCAGCAGGCTACAGGCCTATGTTTTTGCCACTGACCAGACCTAAGACAGTTTCTTCCAACCACTGATGTCCCCACTCATCCGCAGTGGGACTCAGGAAACGCAGAGTCCCGCCTCAGGAGGCCCTGTGTGAGATGCAGGCTGCCCTGAGTGGCTGACATGTGGAGGGTGGCCACCTTCAGAGGATGCAAATGTGGAACACACTGACCACCAGAACACTGCCTTTCAAAATCTAGTTTAGAGCATAGAGAGCTTTTTAAAATATATATATACTTTTTAATATTGTAGCAATGATTCATGATTTATTCATGATTAAATTGATAATGGACACGTGACAGGCACAAAGATGTCAGGTCGACTGGATTTACCAACATGTGGGAAAAGCTCACCAGTTGATAATCAAAAATGAAAATTAAATCTACAAAGAGTATATTTTTCACCCATTTAATTCACAAAATTTAAAAATACATTTTTGTATATGCCTTATGCTATTATCACTGGAGAAGGAAATGGCAACCCACCCTAGTACTCTTGTCTGGAAAATCCCATGGACTGAGGAGCCTGGTAGGCTACAGTCCATGGGGTTGCAAAGAGTTGGACATGACTGAGCAACTTCACTTCACTTCACTATGCTATTAAAGGCATAATGCAACTGATAAGTTTGGGTATGGTTTAGCAGAAATCTTAAAAATACCCTGTCAAAACAATGGTCTCATTTTTTGGAATATATAATAAGGGAAAAAGGAAGATCAAAAATGTTCACTTTGGAATATTCATAATTGCAAGAATTCAAAGACCACTAAAGGTATAATACAGAAATCAGTAACATTGTGGTACATCTCCTAGTGGAATATTATTCAGCTATTCAGAAACATGGAAAAATATTTATTAAAAAGCAAAGTATATAATTGCATTTGTGCTTGTAAAGTGCTATGTGCATAGAGAAAAATAACTAAAATGCAACACATAATGGAAAATAATTATATTAAGACTGTAGGATTGAGTGAGTTTGTCTTCCATTTTTAATCTTTTAATATTACCATATTGTATGTATAATAATAGTAAACATCATAGTTACTCAATAGTATTACTCAGGCATGTTAACACTCCCTTAGGAGTTGACACATTATTCACATTTTGCAGGTAAACGTGGTTTATTTCATGTTCAGTAACATAACAAGTAATAGAACTGCTCAGTCATAACCTCTTGACAGTATTCATGCCATGAATTCTTGCTTCCATTGGACAGTTGATCTAAAATAATAAGTTTATTTCCTTAAGATCTTTTCTATCTCAGCTAAGAAGTAACCTTGTTATAGTGGGAAGAGAATGAATGTGGAGTTGGACAAATTGAATCTTGGTTATGCCATGTGAACTAAGATAAAAATACTTAGTTCATCTGAGCCTAAGTTAGAAAAGTGTACTCACCTGTGAAATGGAACTAATTCTTCAAGGGATTATTGCTGGGATGAGATGCAGCGATGTGTGCAGGGCATCTGACGAATGCTAGGGGTCTGGGTCGTTTCAGTCTTCCTGATCCTCTCTCCCACCTCTCCCTTTTGCCCTTCAGCTGCTTCTCCTGGCCCCCCACCTGCCTCATACTGCTTCGCAAGATTAATGTTCTTAAAGCCTGTCCTAAAATACCGTTGTGATCGTTTTCTTAAGTCCTTACAAAATTCCATGAGAAAAGGAAGAATTAATTAGAACATGCTAGGCCCAAAACTTGTTTGAATTAAAACAAATACAAGTTCAGCTTGAAACATTTTAATTTTGTTTTCTTTAAGAAAACTTTTTGTACTTATTTTTTTTTATCCTATAAATGTGGAATCAAAATACTTGGATTAAAATTTCAAAATAAATAACTTAGGGTGAATATTCTTTACACTCTGTCTTTAGAACTAAATTGTCAACCTTCTACTTAGATTTAATTTTGTATTATGTCCATGACAGGTTCATGCCCCCGGATGACCCTCTTGGCAGACATGGCCCAAGCCTGGATAATTTTCTAAGGAAGAAACCTATTGTTCCTGAACACAAAAAGCAGCCTTGTCCGTATGGTAACTTTCTTTATAGTATCTAATAAATGCCTTTAAGTAGCTCAAATGGTAAAGAATCTGCCTGCAATGCAGGAGACCTGGGTTCAATCCCCAGGTCAGGAGGATCTCCCAGAGAAGGGAATGGCCACCCACTCCAGTATTCTTGCCTGGAAAATGCCACGGACAGAGGAGCCTAGTGGGCTATAGTCTATGGGGTCACAAAGAGTCGGAAACTACACTTTCAGTTTTTTCACTTTAGAGCACAGTATTAAATGTTTGTTATTAAAAATAAACATTTAAAATTTTGGATGGCATGTAGTATGTGGTTCTTTTGAATGTAATTACATTTTTAAAAAATAATTCTTTTTACCTAGTTGGGTTCAGTGTATATGCATTTTCCCTGAATTAAAGCACTGTTCTAAAAACTCAGATAATTCTACATGAAGTCAGTTTTCAGGTAGATAAAAACTTGAAGTTCTTCCATCTAGCTGCACATCAGATTAGAGTGGCTTTATCACATCACAACAGCACATTTTGCTCTGCAAAACACAATGTCCTACCTGACTGCAGAGTTGTACTGGAAGAGAAGAGGCAGGTAGGAGTTGAGGACATGGAGGGAATTATTACTCAGCCAGCTGACTTTCTTATTCCTCTTGCTAGCACTGGCGTGGGAAGACTGAACGGTGGCATTTCTCAGAAGCAGGGAGCAGAGTGGCCCGAGCACAGCTCCCTTTCCTGTGCTTGCTTCTTAAATTAAAAGTGCCACACGGAGTGTTTAGGATCTGGCGGAATGCTTCTTTGCCTAACTGATTTTACTCTTCATAGGAAAGAAGTGTACGTATGGACACAAGTGCAAATACTACCATCCGGAAAGGGGCAGTCAGCCTCAGCGGTCAGTGGCTGACGAGCTGCGTGCCATGTCCAGAAACACAGCAGTCAAAACTGCGAACGAAGGAGGACTGGTGAAAAGCAACAGCGTCCCCTGCAGCACTAAGGCCGACAGCACTTCTGACGTCAAGCGAGGCGCTCCAAAGAGGCAATCAGACCCAAGCATAAGGACTCAAGTCTACCAGGACCTAGAGGAAAAGCTTCCCACCAAAAACAAACTGGAAACCAGGTCTGTACCTTCCTTAGTTAGTATACCGGCTACTTCTACCGCCAAACCCCAAAGCACTACATCTTTAAGCAATGGCCTTCCATCTGGAGTTCACTTCCCACCTCAGGATCAAAGACCACAGGGGCAATATCCTCCGATGATGATGGCAACCAAAAATCATGGAACGCCAATGCCTTATGAACAGTATCCAAAATGTGACTCGCCCGTCGACATTGGATATTACTCCATGTTGAATGCATATTCAAATCTGAGCGTCTCAGGCCCACGGAGCCCTGAAAGGCGTTTCTCCTTAGACACGGACTACAGGATCAGCTCTGTGGCCTCTGACTGCAGCAGCGAAGGGAGCCTGAGCTGCGGGAGCAGTGACTCTTACGTGGGGTACGGCGACCGCCCCTACGTCAGCTCCCCCGACCCGCAGCTGGAAGAGAGCCTCAAGTGTCCGCACATGCACCCTCACGGCCGCCTTAACTCCCAGCCCTTCCTGCAGAGTTTCCACGACCCCTTAACCAGAGTGCAGAGTTACAGTCACGAAGAACCAAAGTACCATCACAAGCCTCCGCTCCCGCACCTGGCCGTGCGCCTGCAGCACCCGGCCGTGGGCGCGCGGTCCAGCTGTCCCGGCGACTACCCGTCCCCGCCCGGCTCGGCGCACGCCAAGGCGCCGCACCTCGGGCGCTCCCTGGTGGCCACGAGGATAGACAGCATCTCCGACTCGCGGCTCTACGACGGCTCTCCGTCCAGGCCGCGGAAGCCCCACGCCCGCCAGGAAGGGCTGGGCGGCTGGGACCGGCAGAGCTACGGGCTGGACGCATACGGCTACCGGCAGACCTACTCCCTGCCTGATAACCCCACGCAGCCGTGCTACGAGCAGTTCACCTTCCAGAGCCTCCCCGAGCAGCCCGAGCCCACGTGGCGCGTCCCGTACTGCGGCGCGCCGCCGCCGGACCCCCCCAGGTACCAGGACAGCCGAGAAAAGATCTTCGTCAACCTGTGCAACATCTTCCCGCCCGACCTGGTGAGACTTGTCATGAAGAGGAACCCTCACATGACAGACGCCCAGCAGCTGGCTGCAGCGATTCTAGTGGAGAAATCACAGCTGGGCTATTGAAAGATGATGCATCTTTGTGGTGTTTAGTAGTTTTTTTTTGTTCAGCTTAAACGCTGAGGGAGGTTTGCTACAATAGCACATGTGATCTCCTTCTCAGCAAGGAGGTTATATAGTATCCATTTATGTGAAAATACTGTATCATGGAATCTGTATGTATAGCCCCACATAGTGGAAGTATCACGGGATTGCTTTACATTCAAACATTTTTTTTTAAACATTTCCTTTTTAAAGCTATATATCCTTGGCTGGAAATTTTTCCAGTTTGATTTATTAGATGTATCTGTGATCTTTGATATTAATCTTTGGTGCATCAGGGGTTTATATGCAGCACTTTTTATCCTTGTTTCATGTTTTATTAACTTGGTGTTTGTCTATCAATTGCAAGCAATTACAATACCTTCAGAATGTTGAACATTTGACTAGACCTAGCAAACTATTTTTTCAAACCAAGCTTAATTGGAATCTTTTACAGCTTTTTAAGTTATTTTTATTTGGGGAAAGTGGGCTTCTTTGTGCTATAATCATTATTTATAGAAACAAAGATATACTACAGCACTGACTTTATATTTTAAACAAAATGTAAGTTACCAGTTTATGTTGAAATGGGTAACAGTATATATTAGAATGATTTACAATATGGCACTTTTAATTGTTTTATTTTCGTTTGGATTTTTTGTGTTAAGTAATTAGTTAATTTAATATGGTTGACTTAAAGGAAAGCAGATGCAATCAATGGAAAAAATCGTTTCCATTTTTTTTTAATAAAAAAGGCAAAAGCCGTTAACTGTTACAGTATATAGAGCTTTGTTATCCAGCTATGATGTGCTTCTAGACAGTAGAAATGGAATTGAATTCCTAGACTTCCATTAACCTGTATTTTTTAATGTGTTTGTCTTTTTGTTTGGGGGCACAACAATACTGGATAAAATAACCCTTTTGCAGTACTTGCCTGTTTTTAATGAATCTAATTATTCTCAATGCAACTTTTATATTTAATATACTCTTTAGCTGTCCTGGCCTGAGGTGGTTTTATGTGTTGAGGATATGCAACATTTGTTGATACTGCACTATAGAAATGGTGATGGAGGAGTTGTAAATGGTAACTTAAAATTTTTGTAAGATACTGTATATTTTCCATTTTCCTGAAGGTAATTTTTCTGGGGGCCTGTCATATTATTAAGGCCAGACTCTTGCCACAAATAGTGTAGTTTTAGATACAGACTGAAGTCTGTTCTCGTATTAGTAAGGGATATTTCTGGTTTCAAAGTCATGGGTTTTGCTGAGCGGATTCGTTTCTGTTATCGGTTAGAAGAGAGCTGTTGCAATCCATGGCAGACAGCTGTGTGACTGACAGGGCTTCACTGTTGTCTCCAGGTTTGAATTTTGCTTAGTCTAACAGACTCATTCTGAGCTGGTTTTGGAGTCTGCCTAGATGCCATGGTTATCCTGGTTATTCTACCTGCTACGGTTTGAAGTAAAGCCCTGAAAAACCAGAAAGTACCTTTTACTGTTGATACAAATTGTATCTTTTTAACTATAAGAACTATTTTGATTTGTAGATCTAGTTAAAACACAGATGTGTAACTCTGATTAGACTTTTGGGCAACATTTTATCCCTTATTTAAATACAAATTTTTAAAGTAAAATCCAAGTCTAGAATAGGGTAGAAGATAAAAGTAACAATTTAGGTAAATAAAAGTGTCTGTCTTATACTTTTATATATTAAAATATATTAAATGAATTTATCGGCATTTTCTTTCTCCTAAAACTTATCTAGCGTGAACTTAAAATAAAGGTAAAATGCTGCCTGAAAATAACGTCCAAGCACCTTTGACTAGTACAACATTTTCACTACTCGTGTGACACTGTGTGTCACGTGAAGTAGGATTTGGGTTACAGTAAATGCTTCTAAAAGGCATTGTGCATATTGACATATCCAATAATCTGAACCGTGTTCAGCAAACCTAATTCAGGAAAGTGGGGTTCACAGTCGCTGCCGCCGCCTGCGAGGTGAAATGCCCCTCGCTGCGCCTGCAGAAGATACAGGCGCTGCCGCACACACCTGCTGCAGCGTCCTCTGAGCGACCTGCTCACTTGTGAAATCGTTCTCCTGATTTTCTCGGTCACTCTCTGTAAACAAGTTTAATGTAGACGCTAACCCAGTGCCAAAAGTAGGGTTACAAACGTGGAGTACCTTTCATTTCAGTCTTCTTCTAAGCTTGCTTTTTTTTTTTTTAAGTATGAAATCATTTTTAAATTATACATGTAGGATTTGCTTCCATTTTCTTAATTTTTTGCATTTGAATTGTTTGAAGATTTTGCCAAACTTTATTACTTTTCTTTAAATGAGCTCTTAGGCAAAATGTATAGCACACCCTTTCATTTGACCTCCTAATGTCTGTAGCTAACCATCTGTCATTGCATCCTGGATTTTAGACTATGGCAAAACAGTGGAGCTTGCCGCTGCCTGCCCTGACGTGAATAGTTCTGAGCAGCCACACTGAAATCCTTCAGTGTAATTGACTGCAAGCCAAGAAGTAGCAGTTTTCTTATGTCAAGAGGCAATCTGTACTCCTCTCCCTTTTTTGGAAGCACTGATGTTGCTTTCTGAGTTTAAGAATGAGATACAGCAATTTGGCTGACTTTAGATACAGCAATTTCTTAATTATCTAAAGCAATAAGTAAAAGGATCCATCATTAAATTAAATTCAGAGTTCATCTCAGAACTTCATTTTAGCCAAAACTTTCACTTTAATCATATCTTCAGACTGACTAACAAATAACCGGAGAGAGGTGTGTTAGTAAGTTGTGAAACTGCCAGTGGTGGTCAGCTGACAGAAGAGGAGGGATTCAGACTGGAATATTCTGCCCTGAGTAACTGACAGTTGACTGGACTTTACACAGTAACTAGCCGGTTTGTTGTCTCTGTGTCTCAGTACAGAGGGAGTTGTGTTCAACTGGCCAAATTCTGGCCCTTAGTATTTCCTCCTTTCTTGCATGCGATACCCAAGTTTTCAGCCTCCTTTATATGATCCCTGTATCCTGATAGAGTGTCATTGATCTAAACATTTGAAAGAAATGCACACCAGTATAAAATATTTGATACTGGTAGAAACTTGAACTTTGTGTTTTTATGAAAATTCATTTATGAGAATATGTAATATAACTAAAAAGAGTGTTTTATATATATATATACATACATGCATACACATTTGTTAAGAAGTATTAAAAATGGAAGAATGTTACGCTTTTGATGGCTAACTTTTCCTTAATTGAACTGTTTCTTTGAGTTATGGACGACCAAGTCTGGAGTCTGGATGACCAATGATAAGATTTGGAACCACTTGAATGGAAAGCAACTCTTTACTGGCTTTATTCCTGATATTTTTAAAGAATTATTTTAATAATTTTAATAGAATGTGTAATTTTAAAACACACAAAAAAACTTAAAGTAGTATTGCTTATACAGATAATTATTTAACATGTCTTTTATGGATGTATCTATATGTATATAGACAGTAATATATTTATAAAACAAATATACTTTATGTTGTAGTTGTAATAGATGGGAGGATGGATGACTCTCATATGTCTGTGTGTGTTTTGAAAACTCTCGAGGTGTTTTTCCCCTGACTTAATGGCAATTACCCTAAGAGATATTTGCTTTTCATTATTCTTCTTGCTACTCAGCTTCCTTATTCAAGATAAATAGGATGTACAGTTTCCTGGCCATACTTTTAGATGTGGCTCATCCATTTTATTATCATCCAGCTCCTGGAGAATTTGAGTGACCTAAAATCGAACAGATTATGGCTGGAGAGATCAGGTGTGTCCCAAATATGTTAAACACAGGAATTCAGCTAGTGTGTTGAGTTTTCTTGTTACACACCGAGAAAGTAGAGTGTCAGTAATAGTAGAGAAATAATTGCATTATTTTATATTGGCATGGGAAAACCTGCAGGGCAAGGGTTGACAAACCTTTTCTGTAAAGGATAGGAGAGTAAATCATCCAGGCTTTGAGAATCATATGGTCCCTGTAAACCATGCCCCTCATCCCTTAAAGTGAAAGCAGCCACAGAAAATACATACCTGAATGGGTATGGCTGTATGTCAGTAAAACTCACAGAAAGGGGCTGCAAGCCAGATTTGGCCCAGGGGCCATACTTTGCTGATTCCTACCCTAAAGGGAGAAAAAAAGGCACATTAAGCAGCAAATCCTGATACACATTAAGAAATCACACTTACATTTCAGTTGGCATTCAAACAAAATCCACTGTTTCGGACCTTAAAAAGATTTCTCAGATAGTCACATATTAAAAGCATCTTAATTCACTTATTTTTCTGCCTGGTCACACCCATTATTTAGTAGAGTTAATTTCTTGTGTTTAACCATCCAAAAAAAAGCATTCTGTAGAAAGATGTTTTAATAAGTATTGGAATTTTTTCATGAACTTTGTACTGATAAATGGGAATCCTTATCTACCTTTTGGTTTTTTAAGGGCCTCATGGACCAAAAATTCTGTTGTATTTTGAAAATTAGCATAAAATTAGCCATAAAATATTTTAAAGACTGCATTTATCAGTTACAATTTTCTGCTGGTTTTTGATTTCTAAAAAATGACAGATCGGCCCTTCTTTAAAAATGGTTTTAAAGAAGATCAATATATTGTAAGTTTACATGCTGTAAACTTTATTCTGTAAAATTAAAAATTGTGACTAGTATAATTGTGAGTGCACGTGTGGTATTGTGACTCTCTATAAGAAACAAAATGTATACCTGCTTTCTCTATCAAAACCTTTAGTATAGATTTAAGACACCTTAGGACTATCCTCAGTGAATGATACTCTTAACAGGATCATGTATGGTTTTAAATTCATTAGAGTATACCACTGAGCATGTTCATTCACAGTGCTTTGTAAATGATGTTAACATCATAAACGCACATCTGTCGGAACAGTAGTTTTGAATGTTTTCATCCACTTAAGTTGCTATATTTTCTTTTAAGATTGGAATATAACTCTAGTTTTAACGAGTGTTTACTGTTTAAAATTTTTTTTTTCCTTTAATGCCCTCTGTTAACCTGCTTTTTGCTTCTGTTACAATAATACTTTGTTATGTTGGGAGTGGCTTTTTCCCTAAAGCTCTTAGTCTTTCAGATTGAAAAACAGTTTAAGGTTTTGACCACCTGACAAATTTGGCAGTAAAAAAAGAAATTTTATACATGTTTCAATTCAGTTTTATAGGTAGTGTAAAATTTCATTTTTTAACCCATATACTGAATTTGCCAATTTTCTGTCTAGATATTTCAGATGAATAACAAATTGTTCATTTAAAACTTGTGACCCCATTCTTGAAGCAGCTTGTGCCTCAAGGGAAGATAAAATTGAACAACAGTGGTTTGTTTTTATAAAGAATACATTTTAAACATGAAGATTTTCTTCAGTTTGGGGAAATTATAAACATCTCATCTAATACAGAACACCCGTCAACATGCACACTTCCACAAACATGTGGACATGGCGTTGCCAGTGAACCCAGTTACAGACTTTTATCTTTTCCTTCTAGGTTTTATCCTCCCAAATCAGAGTCATTTGCTGAGAGTAGAAATTCCAATTTGATCTTTCAAACTTATAAGAAAACAAGGCAAAGAATATGTTTAGAATAACAGTCTGATGAATTCATGTGATTCCGTTTATTCTATGTCTGTTCTATGTGTTTGTGTAATGGGGTTTTTACAGCTCCAAAAAAGCAGTATTTTAGACCTACCAGAAATCCATATCAAAACAGCTATGTGATTCTGCCACTGAGAAAAAAATGTATTAAAAAATTCACTTTTCTTATGGTGGTTTGTTTTTGTTTCTTCAAGAAACTGACATGCAGCAGCACAGAACTCTAAGTAAAAGCATCCTCCCCTCGCCCTGTGGCCAGCCTGCCTGCCTTCAGTGGCTAGTGCAGACACGTCCTCTGTAGCATCAGCACATTCAGTATCAGCGTGTGTTAGAGCTGTAATTAATTCATATGACAATCAGAATTAAATGCCAAAGACAACTAGTCCTACCTTATGGTTCTAATAATGTTCCATCATTGATTAACTTAGGCTGCTTGTGGCTTTGCCTTGAGGCTTCTTTATCACCTCTTGTGAATCTTTGTTGTAAAGGTCTTTCTGCATCTCTCCTTGTGTGAATCAAGTTTAGTATCTTACTAATGCTGCCCCCAGTAGGTTCACTTCACTTCTTTTGTGATCACCTAGGATTTTTCATTTCAGATAAGGTCACAGTTCTGAAATGATCTCATGTTCTGTGTCAGTGAGAAACTGTTGTATTTCAGATAGGAGATTTCTTTTACCCCTCATTGCTTTTCAGACTTTTGCTTTTCTTGTTATTTTTTTCCCTAAAGGTATACCCCCCCGCCCCCGCCTCAGCCCCACTTAAACTTTTTAAGTATCTTATGTATTTAGGTAACTTGTTTCAGCTTTGTCAGCAAAGTTGATTTTTCATGTTCAACTGTGGTTGGCAGAGAACTCAGCAAACCCACATTTGCAAATCTCCCATATTAGGTGGGAGAGTCTGAACTGAGAGTCTCAGAGAGTGTTAGGCTACAGTGTTGGCTAGGGCTAGTAGTTTATTTCTCCCCCACCTAGAACTTTTGTCTAAAGAGAAAGGATTCATAAACACTGATGAATCAAGTAACATTCAGGAAGAGGAGACTGTAAACAGAAACTATAGTGATGAACTTATTCAAAACAAAATACCTCTGTTGGCCCTCTCATTAGTTAGGGTATGTACTTAATATCATTTATGCCTCAGCCTCAGATGCTGTTTTTAAATTAATGATGTTCATTTGGTGTTTTAAGCCTTCTCATAAGCATTTTTTATCAGTCTTTCAGTGTTTTACAGGTTTTCTTTTAAGATCTTTAACCTTTCTTAAAAATGTATTTCTCTGTAAGTTAAGAGTACAGCCTTTGGAGGCACCATCTTGCCACATACATCCTACACGTAGAGACATGTTACAGAGGTAATAATGTCCCAAACCCTAGGCTTGTTTAGAGTAAATGAGTTAAACCCTCTGAACACGTAGATCCATAGTGTACATTTAAGGACAGCTATTGTTAGGTGAATGCGAGGTACTTAAAAACAGTCGTTTCAGATGTTTTCATAAGAGCCTTCCTGTCTATATGTTATGTTGCAGAAGAGTTGGACTCTAGCCATTAGTGTAATGAATATTCCATGCCCATGTGCCTTTCAGAAGGGACACTTTCACCTTTAAAGAATTCTTGGTACCCCATGTCCTTCTTATCCCTGTGACTGTCCTTTCTTGGCTTAAGGATTTTGTATAGTATTTTAATGAGGAAATAAATGGAATAACAAAAATAACAATAATAAAACAGAAACCCTTCCAGAAGCTATAGTTCAGTAGGCTGTGGGCTGAGCTCCAGTTTCACTCCTGAACCTGAGGCTGGGCAGACCTGTCTGCCCCTCCCCCTGACCTGTAGGAAGGGGATATTGGCCCCTGACCATCAAAACCTACAAAGCCAGCCTGGACAGAGGAGCCGGTGATTCGTGGTTTATAACTAACTGCTGCTCTTAAGGGCTTCCCCGGTGGCTCAGACAGTAAAGAATCCGCCCGCAATGCAGGAGACCTGGTTTCAATCCCTGGTTTGGGAAGATCCTCTGGGGAAGGGAACAGGCTACCCATCCCAGGTGGAGAGAGAGGGCTGTGGGGAGACCACTCACATGTGAAGGTCTGGTACAGTAGATAAAGTATAATCACACAAAACAGGCATTATCCCTATTTTAGAAATAAGACTAAAGCACTTGCTCGAAAGCAAACCCCTCTCTGCATGCTTCCAAGCTCTTTTCTTATCCTTCTGCTGCAAGACAGTAATAGGAATGAACCCGTGATTATCCTAGGTGTGCTATTTTATTAAAGTCTAGTTCTGAGGAATGCTACACCTGTGGCATTGTGTAGCCGCTGTACATTGTTAGACATGCTGACTTACCTGGGGACAGGGCAAGACCTGGAAAACTGCACCAGAACTTCACTAGACCCACACCGTCCACGCTGCTTCGTGTGGAGTCATGAGGAGCCTGTCTCTTGTGTGGGAGGGAAGTTTTCCCAGAGAGCTGCGGGTCGGGAGGCCTGTGAGGACTGGCCCTGGCCCAGCTGCTAGGCCCACGGCCCAGGCCACAGCCTCTCTGACGAGCAAAACGGTTCTGTGGTGGATGGAGGTGGTTTTTACGGTCTGGACCCCCGTCTCCACTCCTTGGCTCTCTTTGTGGGCCTCCAGAGGAAAAGGCAGTACACTCATTTCTAACGTTTCCGTCAGGCACAGAGTCGCCCTCAGGTGTCTTTTTCAAAGCCCCATTTAGCTTTCAGATTCCTGACGAGGCCTTCTGAGCACACAGCAGCTTCTGTGTGAGGCACCTGCCATTGGCATTTTCCATGCTTTCTGCCATTTGCGTTTTCCATTTGCACAAATTCAGCATGAGATTAGAAATAGAAAAGTTAGATTCGTTGTCGAACAAATTCCCAGGAGAGCCGGATGAGGGGCAGAATACGGTGCTGAAAGGTGAATAAAACGTTGCGATGGGCTTCCGCCCCACCCACCCCGCGGCCTCGGGTCGGGCGGCCGGCTGGGAGCGCGGGGCGGCTCCGCCCTCGGGCCGCGGGCACCCGAACAGCGGGGTCGAGGCCGCGGGCCTCGTCACCACCTCAGCCCTCAAAGCTCTCCTCTCCCCCTCCACCCTCTGAAGATGCAATCCTCATTCACTTGAATAATTATTTCTAACAAGCTTGCGAAAAGATTAAGGGAGACGGCAAGTTCAATTTATGACTACACGAAACGCTATTGAGTAAACTCCAGAGGAGATGTATCGGTTTGCCGTGTCTGTTCCCAGATTAACAAATTCAGGACGAGGCGCCTCTCGCAATTGTGAAGGCGGCGCAGGGTGAGATGCTGCAAACTATGAGGCTGGGAGGCGAGCGGGGGGAAGGGAAGGTCCCAGCCCACGCTCCGCGGCATGGGCTGAGCGGAGCTCGGGAGGTGGGGAGCTGCAGGAGAGCCCGAGGGGGCCCCGAGGAGGCCGCTGCCCGGCGGCCTCTCGGCGACCAGGCCTCCGGGGCCAGGTTCCTCCCCATCAGGGCGCAGAGCTTTGCACCCCGCAGCCTTTCTTCCCGCGGGGGAGCTTCCTCAGCTCTGCCCCTTCCCGCGCCCCAGCCGGAGTCCGCCTGCGCCTGAGACCGTCAGGTGGCCGCGGGGAAGAAGGCAGCCACAGGCTTCCAGAGATCCTCCTCCATCTTTCTAACAGTTTACAGCCTTTTGAATCCGCTTCCCAGTTTGGATGTGGGAAATGCCAAGTGGTTAAAGCGGAGGTGCGGGGAACCTCTGAATCCGCTCACAGGCCCTCGTTCTGTGGTTAAGATGCTCAGCCACTCCAGGATCGACCAGCTCCAGTGGCCTGAGCTCGGGGAGGCGGGGCGGGGCGGGGCTCCGAACTGGCGGCCCACCTTGCAGGTCTCTGGGTCCTTTGAAACAGGTAGCCGTGTCCCCAGACTGCCTTCCTGAGCCTTCTTTGCTGAATGGGAGGCACAAGCACAATCGCCCCTCTCTGCGTGGGCTCACAGTGCACCGCCTCCCCCTGCAAGCACCGCAGGCTCAGCCCGCACAACCTTCCCCTCTGATCGATCCGACATTTCGGGGGCTAACTGTATCATCCCAGGGGAAAATAAATGGTTTTGAAAGGCATGGGATCTTTCAGGTTGTAAAACAAAACCTTGTCGTTCGCAGTAATACTCTGCCAAGGGCCTGGGGCAAAGCAGAGACCCAACAGCAAGGAGAGCTGGGTGGAGGGAACCAGAGGCCAAGGAAGTGGGGGCTCCAGCCTCTCTCTGGCCCCGGGAACAGGCAGCCGCTCAGTCCTGTGGGAGACGGTGTGATGCTGGGCTGGTGGGCACAGCAGCAACTTTTTTTCCCTCCTTTTATCAAAGGAGAACCATACATGTCTTGGATTCTGTTTTTAAATCAGTTCTTCAGGCTGCATTATGGCTGGAATTGATTCTTCTCATGTTTTACTCAGAACAGAAATGAGCATAATCTACAACTATTTGTTCCTGCCCAAGGCTGTGTGCTCGAAGAGGACATTGATCTGAGAGAATCACTCATACAGACCAAGAATGTTTTCTGGCCCCAGCTGAGTGAAGGGCACCCAGCTGACTCAGACAGCCAGTTTGACAAAACCAGTAAACAGAACTCCTCTCTGTTCAGGGCCCCCGGAGCCTGTGTGGTCCCCAGTCCTGGGCCCCACCCCTGACCCAAGAATCAGACACTCTTGGCGGGTGGGGTAGGGTGGGGGATATCTATGGTTTCACAAACCCTCTAGATGATACTGATGCTCATCAAGTTGAAAGTAAAACCACTAAGTGAAACTGAGAATTAAAGCAAAATAGTAAGCAGGTAAAACTCACAAGATCACCTCCATCACTGATGAAGCTAGTGCTAGAGAATCTGGGCTTGTGCCTAAGGCAACTGGGCTCCCTAATGTGTGTGTCAGTGGCTCAGTCATGTCCGACTCTGCGACCTCATGGACTATAGCCCGCCAGGCTCTCTGTCTATGGAATTCTCCAGGCAAGAATACTGGAGTGGGGATCTTCTCCACCCCAGAATCCAGATTGAATCCAGGCCTCCTGCATTGCAGGCAGATTCTAATACTGAATCCCAAATTTGACAGACACCCATCTTGTGCGGGAGCCCGGGCCTGCCTCATTGGAACGAGGGCATGGAGGAGCCAAGATGAGGTGTGCTTCCTGGGACAGAGAACAGGGGTGGGGACACCACGCCTCTGCAAACTCACCACTCAAGCGACCTGTCCCACCTGCGTGGAAAGGAAGGAGGGGGCCCACGGAGGCCAAGGGGGCAGAGGCCATGCTGGAGACAGCTGTCTGTGCTGGGCGAAGGTCGCGCTGCCCGCCGGTGCACTCCTAGGTGACTGGGAGTGATCGGCGTTGCTCCCTTTGGGTGCCATGCCCCTGACAGCTTGGCTTGAGCAGGACTGAAGTCCAGCAGTTCACAAGGGCCTTGGCGCACTTCACAGCATCACCCCCTCTGTTGGTGTGGGCAGTTCCTGAAGGAAAGGGGCTTGTGCTGAGGCTTCAACTCCCCACCCATCAGTCCCAGGGCGCAGTGTAGACCGCAGCCCCTCTGCCCCTGCAGAAGAGAGCTCACAATGAGGTCCGGCCAGTTTCCTTTCCCACAGGAAGTGGGAGCTGGCTATGTTGTTTCCTCAGAAGGGGTTTGACAAAGGTGGTGCTTTAGCTTGTCATCTTCATGCATTTCTTATAACCTGAAAATGAGTGAGCTTCAAACTCTCCTCAACTCCCAGCTGCCCACCTGTGCCTCCCCCATGATCAAAGGAAGCTAACTCCCTTCCTAACCCAAAGAACAGAAAGGGTCTTAGACATTTAGTCCAAATGTCTCATTTTCTGGCAGACACACCCGAGGCCCAGGGCACTGTAGGGACCCGTCCAGGGTCTTCACCATGACCCGTGCCTAGGTTTGACACCCACAGGCTGAAAATCTGCAACCTTCCCATCTCCATGAACAAGCTTGTGAGAAGCTGGTTAGATAGCATTATCTATAATTGTGTTTATCTCTTAGCACACTGTTTCAGAGGCGACTGATCATTCATCCTGTCTCTTTTCTGGTATTTCCCCCTGTATCAGCAGTCACAGCCAGACCGATCTGTGTGTGGAGGGATCTGTCTGATGGCAGCATGTGGGAATTTGCTGTGGGAGCAGCAGCCTGCGCTGTGCCTCCTTCCCTGCTGGCCTGAAGCCTCGGGGTCTGCAATGGATCTATTAAAAGGTGAAAGTAAGGACATACCTGGCATGACTGTTTGGATTGTTACCTGATCAGTGGTTCAAAGGCCCCAACCAGGTGATTTCCTCAAGTGCTTCTGTCTGCATTGTTTTAACACATAACAGCAGTCTCTCAAGCGCTGCCTGAGAAAGCTGGCCACAGGACCCCAGCTTCGGGCTCCACCGCACCCCCAGGCCTCAAGGCCGAATGCTGCTACACCACCCGCCGCTTGTAATCAAGGAGAATCCTGGGAGACCACAGTGTGATAAGAGACCACACAAAGTATGTGGCTATCTTTCAAGTTATAAAAAATGCCTGATAAAGCAAAGACTTCAAATAGACTATGAGAACAGCCTGGGAACAGATATTTCTTAAAAGTTGACAAACGGCATAACAAAAAAGTTGTTTCCTATGTGTCCCCTTTGGAAGGGCACTGTTTCTGAAACAACCAGACTTAGTGCCCTTGAAAAACATCAGGGACAGATTCAATATCATGCGGGCATATTTTGTGTCGTTTTTCTGAATGTCTTTAAGAAGGTGATTTTGGGCGTGGCCGGTGCGCACCTGTCATATAATTGAAGCATAATACATCCCTGAAGAATGTAAGAGCGGCTATTGAAAAAGCTGACTCCTGTTGCAACCTGTCACCCAATCCTCTGAGCTTCAGTCCTCAGACATTCAAGCCACCCTGCAGTGTCAGGAATAGTGCCACCTAGTGAATTAATAATGTGGCTTCACGTCCCAGCTCTGCCACCACACCTCTCAGCCTTCTTTCTCAAACACTGGCCAACTCCAAGCTAACACTCTGTGAAATCAGAGAAGACGAGAGGCTGAGACAGGGTAGGCAAGCCCACTGGGCAGTAGGGCAGTTCCTCGAGAATGCGGTAGTCACCGCCTACCGGCAGTGTGCAGAACCAAGCAGAAACTAGTGCGCCAGGCTGATGTTAGAATATATTTATTGCTACATTTATGTACAGTTATACAAACAGCCAGGAATGAGAGAGAGTGTTGCAACAATTGTTCCAGATTCCACAGATGTGTGCCAGGAAACAGAGCTGTATACCACTGAGTCTGCTCTTGGTTCAAAGCCAAAAATGTCACATACATTTTTTTTTAATGGAAAGTTCTCGGAAATCCTCTCAGTTTATCCCTCCTTACAAGCTAGTCATGCAGAAAAAAGTGGGTTCTCAGAAGCCTATGCCTTCAGGCATCTGTTGTGAAGATGGAGCCTTGAAGACAAGATGCTGGCTTAGGACTTTCGGGTGCAGTGCAGAGCTCCCCCGTCCTGGCCCAGCTCTCTAAGCTCTGTCCTTAGGAAAGACAATCGAGAAGGGTGGGGAGAGAGACAGAATAGCAAGAAAAGGGAAGCCAACAGTCGACTGAGGTGTGGGAAGAACCATCAACAAGAGCCCTGACTGGGGGAACATTTGTCCCTCGGGCTCCAGCTGAGATTCTGGACTTTGGGGGAGAGAGACGTTCAAATCATCAGGCATGTCTTGGTATGACCTTATCCTAAAGCTCGCCATGTGTCAGATGCCAGGGACCTGCATGAAGACACAGAAAGTGAACAGGAAAATTAGGCAAGAGAGAAGAAAATGAAACTTTTATATATCACCATAATACGGATGAAAAGGGCACCACCCTGAACACCTTTCCAGTGACACATGGCCAAGACTGAGTTGACTACTGAATTATGAAGGGGGATGGAATGCCACAAAGGAAACACAATGATGTACACACTGCAACCAAACAAAGGTGGTTCCACAGACTCTACATTTTGACCCCAGTCTTGCTAGAATTACTTCCATTTCTCAGAAGGAATCTAACATGATAGATCTTGCAGTGTTCAGATCCAGAATCTTGACGCAGATATGAGATCATGGTATAAACAAACTCCCCTTCACGTCACACTCTCATAAGCCTTTGTATGTGAATCACAAAAGAAGTAGCTGAGCAGCCCGTGAGACAGGTGTGCCCAAAGGATCAGTTACTTTATTTTCACCAGTTCTGTCTTACCCACCTCGGGCCACTCCCCCTCCCCCACCACCAGGGGTCCAGGAAAGGTCATCAGATCAGGTCTAACACAGCCTCCTAAGCCAAAATCAGCCTAGCACCTCAGAGAAATGACAAGGCCTAAAGGTTGAGAACAAGAAGCCTGTGGGTCTGAACGCACCAGACAACCAGAGGCCTCTGGGGCTGATTCATGACTCAGACACAGCCTGTCACCCGAAGCTGTAGGTGTTCTATCCCTGAAGACACCTGCCAGCTATAGTTCGTTGGTCCATGGCTGTCCATATCACCTCTAATTCCTCACCATCACAATCCCTCAGAACCACTCAATCACAAAGAAGAGGGTGAGGATGCTGACAGAGAAATCCGCAGGACCAGAAACCTGTCAGAAGTCCCTGTTTTTTCCTTGGGTCAATAACACTAAAATCAGCTAAGGAGGGGCCCAGCTGTTCTTCTGAGGCGGACAACTGTGTGACTTTTCAAGCTGAAGGATGTGGTGATTGCCAACTCCCTTGATCCTTTAATAAATCTGTCTTTGGACAATTCAAAATGTCAGTTATTTGATCTGACTTTTCGTGTGAGTCATGCAGAAACTTTCTTTTCCTATGTCCGATGGCAATAGCAGAGTTAAACTCACTCAAGGGATTCACTCTAAAAAGCAAAAATGTTGATGCATGAAAATCAATGAGGAAAAATTGCAAAACATCAGGCAAATTTCAATTGGAAAGATTTTGTTGGTGGTGGTGTTCAGTCGCTCAGTCGTGTCTCAGACTGTTTACGACTCCATGGACTGCAGCATGGCAGGCTTCCTTGTCCTTCACCATCTCCTGGAGCTTGCTCAAACTCATGTCCATTGATTCGGTGATGCCATCTAACCATCTCATCCTCTGTTGTCCCCTTCTCCTCCTGCCTTCTATCTTTCCCAGCATCACGGTCTTTTCTAATGAGTTGGCTTTTCGCATCAGGTGGTCAAAGTATTGAAGCTTCAGTTTTAGCATCAGTCCTTCCAATGAATATTCAGGGTTGATTTCCTTTAGGATTGACTAGTTTGATCTCCTTACATTCCAAGGGAGCCTCAAGAGTCTTCTCCAGCACCACAGTTCAAAAACATCAATTCTTTGGCACTCAGCCTTCTTTATGGTCCAACTCTCAACATCCATACATGACTACTGGAAAAACCATAGCTTTGACTAGACAGACCTTTGTCAGCAAAGTAATGTCTCTGCTTTTTAACATGCTGTCTAGGTCTGTCATAGCTTTTTTTTTCAAAAAGCAAGCATCTTTTAATTTCATGGCTGCAATCACCATCCCCAGTGATTTTGGAACCTGAGAAAATAAAGTCTCTCACTGTTTCCATTGTTTCCCCATCTATTTGCCATGAAGTGATGGGACCGGATGCCATGATCTTAGTTTTTTTAATGTTGAGTTTTAAGCCAGCTTTTTCACTCTCCTCTTTCACCTTCATTAAGAAGCTCTTTAGTTCCTCTTCACTTTCTACCGTAAGGGTGGTGTCACCTGCTTATCTGAGGTTATTGATATTTCTCCCAGCAATCTTGATTCTAGCTTGTGCTTCTTCCAACCCAGCGTTTCTCATGATGTATTCTGCATAGAAGTTAAATAATCAGGGTGACAATATGCAGCCTTGATATACTCCTTTCCCAATTTTGAACCAGTCCATTATTCCATGTCCGGTTAACTGTTGCTTCTTGACCTGCATTCAGGTTTTGCAGGAGGCAAGTAAGGTGGTCTGGTATTCCCATCTCTTTAAGAATTTTCCAGTTTGTTGTGATCCACAGTCAAAGGCTTTAGCTTAGTCAATGAAGCAGAAGTAGATGTTTTCCTGGAATTCGTTTGTTTTTTCTATGATCCAACGAATGTTGTTAATTTGATCTCGGGTTCCTCTGCCTTTTCTAAACCCAGATTGAACATCTGGAAGTTCTTGGTTCATGTACTGTTGAAGCCTGGCTTGGAGAATTTGAGCATTACTTTGCTAGCATGTGATATGACTGCAATTGTGTGGTAGTTTGAATATCTTTTGGCATTAGCCTTCTTTGGGATTAGAATGAAAACTGACCTTTTCCAGTCCTGTGGCCACTGCTGAGTTCTCCAAATTTGCTGGCACAATGAGTGCAGCACTTTCACAGCATCGTCTTTCAGGAGTTGAAACAGCTCAGCTGGATTTCCATCACCTTTGCTAGCTTTGTTTGTAGTAATGCTTCCTAAAGCCCAATTGAGTTTGCACTCCATGATTTTCGGCTATAGGTACGAGTGATCACACCATCGTGGTTATCCGGGTCATTAATATCTTTTTTGTATAGTTCTTCTGTGTATTCTTGCCACCTCTTCTTAATATCCTCTGCTTCTGTTAGGTCCACATAGCTTCTGTCCTTTATTGTGTCCATCTTTGCACAAAATGTTCCCTTGGTATCTCTAATTTTCTTGAAGAGACCTGTAGTCTTTCCCATTCCATTGTTTTCCTCTATTTTTCTGCATTGTTCACTTAGGAACTGCATTGTTCACTTAGGAAGGCTTTCTTATCTCTTCTTGCTATTCTTTGGTACTCTGCATTCAACTGGGTATATCTTTCCTTTTCTCCTTTGCCTTTCACTTCTCTTATTTTTCAGCTGTGTGTAAGGCCTCCTCAGACAGCCATTTTGCCTTTTCACATTTCTTTTTCTTGGGGATGGTTTTGATCACTGCCTCTTGTACAGTGTTACGAACCTCTGTCCATAGTTCTTCAGGCACCCTCTATCAGATCTGATCCCTTGAATCTATTTGTCACTTCCACTGGATAACTGTGATGGGTTTGATTTAGGTCATACCTGAATGGCCTGATGGTTTTCCCTACTTTCTTCAATTTAAGTCTGAATTTTGCAATAAGGAATTCATGATCTGAGCCACAGGCAGCTCTGTCTTATTTTTGCTGACTGTATAGAGCTTCTCCATTCTTCTGCAAAGAATATAATCAATCTGATTTCATTATTGAACATCTGGTGATGTCCATGTGTAGAGTCATCTCTTGTGTTGTTGGAAGATGGTGTTTGCTATGACCAGTGTGTTCTCTAGGCAAAACTCTGTTAGCTTTTTCCTTGCTTCATTTTGTACTCCAAGGCCACACTTGCCTGTTATTCCAGGTATCTCTTGACTTCTTACTTTCCAAAATGGAAAAGAGTTACATAAATGCAGGCACTGGAAGAAATGGCTTAAAGATGAATAGCTAAGAACAGCATTATTTGTGGCAATCTATGGATTGCTCAGAACATGTTTTAACCAAGGATTTTAGCTCAAATATCAGGAATAAGATTAACTAGATTCTATGGAGTCACAAACAGCTACATGCCTTTCAAAACAAGCCCTTCAAGTGGATTTGAAAACAATGAAAATATTTTGGGGATGTCAGAGATTCGTGAATGACCTTAAACTCAATTCATAGCAATCCAGAAGTCAAGGTAATTAAAAAGAATGAAATAATGCCATTTGCAGCAACATGATGGAACTAGAGATATTGTACCAAGCAAAATAGGTTAGAAAGACAAATACCATATGATGTCACTTACATCTGAAATCTAAATATGACACAAATCTATAAAACAGAAACAGACTCACAGACAGAGAGAACAGACTTGTGATTGCCAAAGGGGAGTAAGAGTTGGGAAGGGAAGTACTGGGAGTTTGGGATTAGAAAATAAATAAATATCAAGGCCAAACAAGCAAATCATTTCCAAAAGTTATCCAGGCTAAGTGAAAATATATCACCATTTGTTTAATGTCACATGAAAAGAATCTAAAAAATAACAGACAGTTATTCCACATCTTATTGTCTCCAATGTATTCACACTGAATTTTGTGTGTAGAATTTGGGGAGGTTTAAACAGCAAGTTGGGGGGACTCAAATGTACCATTCAAGATCTATAAGATAAACTGTACTGCTGTAGTTTTTATTTAGAAATGGGATGAGTCGAAACATAACTTTGAAACAATTTCTTATGGTACTCACGTTGATCAATGACTTTTAAATATTTCCAAATTACGATCAATGCACAGTACTAATCTGGTTTACAAACCAATTCTGGAATTCTTTTATTTAATATATAGGTATGACACTTCATTTTTAAGTATATCTGAACATTTTTTCAAATAAGAAGAAAAAAAATCCTACCAGCAGCACACAAGTATCATATGTGTGAGCTGGCACAGTGATATGCTACATCAAGAAGGTTCTTTCACAAAGAGAGCAGTCTAAGGTAGCATGTCTAATCACCTCACAAAGATTACAGCTTAAATCTCACTGTAGTAAACTCTGTCTGACCTCAACGTTCTTGACTGGCAAAGAGCCAAAGAGAGGCAAACACCTGAGAAAGAATCTAGAGTGGGTGAGATTAGGAGCTGCACAGGGAGGGCTGGATCTGGGTCAACTCTTTGGACTGGCATTTCACTAGACGAAAGGCTCGGGGCTGTGGATGCACAGACTCAGGTTTTATGGGGTCCTGCCAGCATTTCCGAAGTGGCGAGGGTGTGGCAGGTCTACTGGGAAGCTGTGACCAGTTGTACTTACCCAGTGAGAGAGCCTTCTTCCTAACTGTTACATTTGCTTTATACTGCTTTGGCAAGAACGCATCTGGAACAATGCATACAGTTTGGGTCCCCACCTTTTAAGAGAGACATAGAAAGGTTAGAAAGCATTTCAGCAAAAGAACACAGAAGGAAGCCAAAGCTATAGTACAGAAGCCAGAAGCACCCTTGTCCCCTGCATTCTGTAGAGCCGTCTCAGTAACCAAACTGCCAAAGCAATCTTTTTCCTAATCTTTAACCTCTAACTTTTCTTTTTCAATCACTTTTGAATCTCCACAATTATTACAATGTGAAAATAAGAATAACTTTCAAACTCCTTTTTAAAGAGATGCTGGAAAAAATAAATAAAGAGATGCTAGAATTCTCATAGTTGCAGCCATTTCACACAAACTAGTCTTAGTCTTATGACCAGGGAGAATGGAAAATATTGTTTATCATATTTTCTATGCTTGAGGGTTAAGCAATTGGAAACACAGTTACTGATAACTCTATCTTATAAGTGGGTTATTTATCAAAAGGGCAGCTGTGGTGGGCTGTTTCCCATGGAAACCATGCTACGGATGACTAGTTTGGTTTCCAAGCAGTTTAATGCATGAGCCTTTGTAGTAAAATACAGTAGAACTCTCAAACTTGGATAAAGGAACACAGAAACAATGAAACAAAGGAGTTTTACAATTTATCTTTTATAGTGAATTTTGATGTTAAATGGGCAGAATTAATTAGAGGGTGATTAAGTAGTATTTGAAATTTAAGAACACTTTACAGAAAATTTTAAGTATTTTCAAAGACTTTGAAGGTTAGCAGAGCTGGCACTTTATTGTATGAAATGCCATGCTACAATGTATTGGTGTATATTTTCCCCTAGTAACCAGCACTGTTCTCATCATTCTTAACCAGGTAGATTTACAGTACCCATAAAGTAACAAAATGGGAGAGAAGGAAAAGGAAGGAAAAGAGAATGATTTGCATGAGTATACTGAAAAAAAATTTTCCTAAGAGCAAGAAAAAGGAGGAATGGGGAGTAAAGTGAATAAATATTATGGTATAAGAAAAAAAAATAAAAATAAATGAGGGGTTACAGTTATAACAGAGAAAACCATGCATGCAGTTGCCTAAGAGGTGAAGAGTACCAGAAATGTTGAAAGCTTGCCACCAGGTGGCACCATAAAATTAAAAGCCCTCTAAGAAAAACAGCAACCTTGATGGAGATGGGAGCTGTGAGAGATACATATAAATCAGAGGCGGGACATTCACAATACAGGTGATTCTGTTCATGGAGTGCCAAGCCATAGGTTAGGATGTAAATCATACTAAGTTATCCCGAGAATGAAATTTGGTTTAACATTAGAAAAATCTAATTCAATATGCTAACAAAAAAGCACACACACACATTATCTCAAAATACACAGAAATTGCATTTGACAAATTTTAAGTATACTTTTTATTTAAGAAAAACTCTTGGCAAAATAGGCATATATATATAAAGAAGTGTCATTGACCTGATAAAGGTCATCTACCAAAACAGCAAACATATGTCACGGCAAATGTAAGAAGGATCTTTTTAAATAAGAAATGAGGTGCATGCATGCTCAACATTGTACCAAAAGCTTTAGTCAAATCAAGTTGGTAGGTAAGCAAAAGAAGTTATATGGATTGAGAAGACAGATTGAGGACGGTATTAACTGCAGAAGATGCCTATTTATGCAGAAAGCCCAAAAGGCTTCACAAATTATGAGAAATAGTAATAATTGAGCAAGGTTCTTAAATATAACATCAGCAAACAAAAATCAACTTCATTTTTATATACCAGCCACAAATAGTTTTAAAATGTAACTACTAAAAAGATAGTAAAAATAAGATGCTTAATAATAAGTCTAACAACAGAAACAGATGATCTTAATGGAAAATTTAAACTTTACTGAAAAGTATTAAGGAAGACATAAATAAATGCAGAAATATTACATATCCATGACTAGGAATACTTAAGTATTATACAGATGGAATTTTTTTCCAAATTAATCTATTAGTACGTTTCCACCAAAAGGTTTTTTCCCCCATAGTATTGAAACTAATTCTAAAATTTATGTAGAATAATAAGAAAGAGTCAAAACTAGTCAGAATTTTATTATCAAAACAAGGTGGAGAAACTTTAAAAGAAAACAGGCAAAAAAAGTCATTTCAAAGGAGACATGAAAGGTCCATAAATTTAAGAAAAATTCTGAACTATATTAGTAATCAAGAAAATGCAAACTAAAAGCACATTTTAAACCTTTCAAACTGGCAAAAAGTTAAAAATCTGGTGATATCAAGTGTGCTCAAGTCAATGTGGATATATTCTTCCTTTGGATCACAAGTTGATGCTTACATAGAAAAGTTGAAGATGCCCCTGTAACTGATCAATTCCCCTCCCTAGGTGCAGATATTGTTGCTCACATTACTAGGAAATGTGTTCAAGAAGATTTCAGGCTATATTGTTTGTAAAATAAAAAATACTAGAAACAATCCAAGTGGGCATCATCAGGGGAGTGGAAAAATTGTAGCGCACTCATGAGACAGACACCTTCAGAGCAGTGAAAATGAATGAACACAGCTATGTTCATCAAAACAGATGTGTGTGTGTGCAATTGAAATTAGGTAAAGTTCCTATGCATGCAAAAGAAGACATTACTTGTAGATACAAACAGTTAAAATAGAAGAAAAGGGTGATGTGATAGAGGAGGAATACAGAATGCCAAAGTGACTGGCAATATACTATTTTAAAATCTGATGCCTGAGTATTATATGTATTTACTATGTATAGTAGTATTATACTATTAGTATAATACTATTTAAGAAAATGTACTATATATAAACAATATATTTCTTTGTTCATATTTCTCCTAGGCACATTCCTTTCCTTAAACTTGTTGAAAAGCATGCTCTTGTTTGTATATGTTTAAAACTTTCAGAAATCGATGGAGGAAAATACTATAATAGGGAGTTATAAATTTGGTTCCAATTATCTTTGGTCTTTTAATCATTAGAACTCGAAGGTCTCAAACCCTCTAGGTAAAGAGGTCAATAGCTACTCTGAGGACACTGAGAAAAGCAGCAACTGTGTTATTCCCACAGAGTCGCACACCCTCGTTCTAAATAAGTGATTCTCAAAGTATGGTCCCAGAACAGTAGCATCAGCCTCCAGGTTAAAGATCCAAGTTCCTGGGCCCCACATAGACCTGCTGAATCAGAAACTTTGGGAGGGAGGAGCCCTGCAAATCGGCATTTTAACAAAGTCTGCAGCTGATTCTGATGTGCTCAGTTTGAGAATCCCTGCTGAAAATTTTTCAAATTTATAAGGAAATCTCTTCATTATTACAAAATAAAACCCCTCTACCATGAAATAAACAATCTAGACAGCGGAGAAAGCCACACCACTGGTCCTTAGAAGAATGTAATGGTTTTTTAAATCCTTTAATTCGGGGTCAGCAAACTATGGCTCAAGGACCATCCAGCTCATCTGTTTTTTGGTTGAGACCATGATTTAAAAGCCAAAAGAAGATTTCATGACACATAAAAGTATAAGAAGGTTGGACTGCAGTGTCTGTGAATGAAGTCTTACTGGAAAGCAGCCAGGCCCCTTCACTCACATACACCTATGGCTGCTCTCCTGCCAGAACAGCGGGGCTGTGAGATGTGACAGAAACTATCTGGCACAAGAAGTTGAAAATATTAAAAAAAAAAAAAAATTTAACACTTGGACCTGAAAATATAATCTTTACAGAAAGTTTAACTCCTACTCTTTTCAGTAATTACAGTCTACTAACCTCAATGCGAAATATAATTCTAGTGATTTTTCTCCGAAAAGTACAATTTCCCTTTTAATTCCACAGGCAAAAATCTAATAGTTTAAAAGACTTCTTAGGAAAGTTAAATCAGATCCATTTTTTATTGACAAGGTAAAGCAAATAACCCACACAGAGCATCTGAAGAATGTTTTTAATTATGCTTTCTCTGTCTTCAAATATTCTAAGTGACCAAAAAAAATGGATGACTAATTTTAATGAAATATTCCATCACCTTTAGCTTTGGAAATTAGTTTAGAAATCTCCGCAGGCATTTCCTCAGGTGGCTCACTTAAAGTGTGAACTCGTCTCAAGGCTGCACAGAGACTTCTCAGGCCTCACACTGCAGCCGCCTTCCTCCATGGCTCCCCTTGGGCTGAAACTATCCAATCTGATCCTCAGTCTCTTGAATTTTTTCTAGACCAAGTTCACTTGTTACTGAAGTCCTGCTCACCAAATTCCAGAAATATATTTTATTTAACATCTATCAACTAGCTGAAACGTCCTGTTTCTAGCCATAACCACCTTCATCTCAAATTTTATTTTCCACCAGATTTCTAAGATCCCTTGAGCGTAGACCCATTTGATTTTGAGGGTTTTAACACTCAATAAAAGGATGTTTTCTTACCCTCACAAGAATAAATCACGTATTTCAACTTAAAATCCTTAAGCCATACTCACCTTTTCTTGAAAACGAGAGCACTAAGCTTTTCACAGGTTGGCGTTACTAGCCCACATGAGAAGTGGAATAAGTCTGGTCTCCAATTTGATGGGGTTTGGTCTCCAGGTCAGTGTTACTCTGTATTCAGTATAATATTTACAGCATTCTTCAAGTTATGCAGACAGTAAAATCCTCCAAAGGGCAGTCATGTGAAAATGTCTCGGTTGGAAACTTAACCTTTTATAGTTTTAAAAAGCAGCGGGAGGGCGACTTTCAATTCAAAGAAACCCAAACCCAAGGCACACTCTGCCATTATACTGGCCTTTAGGCAAGCTTTGTGTTAGTCGCTCAATCTCATCTGACTTTCTGGGACCCCAAGGACTGTAGCCCGCCAGGCTCCCCTGTCCATGGAATTCTCCAGGCAAGAATACTGGAGTGGGTTGCCATTCCCTTCTCCAGGGGATCTTCCCAACCCAGGGATCAAACCTGGGTTTCCGTGGGTTCTTTACTGTCTGAGCCACCAGGGGAGCGGGTTACTGAAGCCTGAAATGGGATAGTGCACCCACCTTCAAGGACGCCTGCAGCATTTACGGTA